GCCGCCGATTCCGCTGTGCTTTGGCTATGTCCTCAGCCCTGACAGAGATGCTGGCAGAACGTAGGGCAAGCACCCAAAAGTGCTATGATGTTGTGCCTTCTTACAAAAAAGAGCCAGTCCTTGGAGTTTGCTACTGATTGGGTTGTTCCTCTTTGAAAGAGAGAGAAAAGGATGGCTCTGCTTTTCAGAATTCAGTGAATAATTGTAGAGCACAGTATCTGAAAGATACCGAGTGTACGTTTGCCCACTAGAGAGAATAACTACTCTAAATTATTCTCATGACTTGTTGAAAACAGCAATCTCTCTTACAATCTGTCGTTTTTTCCCACTAAACAATCGATTCCCTCTTCTTAAGAACTTTAGGTCCCCAAATATTCATACACTTAATACTGATATCAGTGGTAATTAATTGGTATTTGACATTTTTTCTGCATGATTTAATCAGCGGAGTTTGGGAATTTTAGTGGCCTCTACCCAGAACATTAGGTGAAAAATGAAATTATTAAGTACTTTAGTTCTTTACTAACAGTAAGCTATTGTAAGTTATTATTAACCACTTACTTACAAATTACTTTTTAAAGTAAGAATGGTTGTATTTTAGTAAAACTCGGGCTAATCTGAACAATCCCAGCAGGATAGTAGATACTTTCCAATAGCTATTATTCCAGGTCATGTGCAGATAAGAAGAGGGAGAAAAAGAGGTGAGAAAAAGAGAACATCTCTACAGGTTCCTGCGTGCAATCTCAAAAGGCTGGTTTGAGGTATTACGGGTTCTTCGCAAGGAACTTGAGATGCTCTTTGTAAAACAGTGGCTGGTTCTGTTTGATATTTAGGACAAGGGTGAATTGAGAATAAAATAAATCAGAGTAATAATCATATCCAAAGAGGTAATTGAGCGATTCTGTGGTCTGCAAGCATCCCCAGGAACTGGGATTCATATTGCTCTCACATGGAGCTATTTGTCAGCTAAACCAACAGGACTATCTATAATAATGATAAAACAGGACATTGAAGTACTATCAAGTAGCAACCTTGGTAATGACAATAAATCAGAAGTTGCAGCTGTGGCCAATTGGTGAACAGCCCTGTCTCCATAGTGCCCATGGAGAAAAAAAATGAAAGTTTAGGCAAGAATGGCTTAGAAAAATGATGGTTTTGGGCTGATTACTATAGTTGTACTACCAGATGAGGTAGATCCAGCTCACTGAAGCTCCTGCTAAGATAAGGCTTTATGCATCATCTTTTCATGGGACTGTGGTAGTGTTGGAGCTGTTTAAGAGAAGTGGTGCATCAGTAGATACCTACTGTTCCTCCAGCAGCCTGGGCATAGCTTGGCCATGGAACATTTGCTGTAGGTTTAAGAAGACCCGAGCTTGGGGGATCTGCTGACCATCACTTGTAACACACTCAGCCCCTCCACGTCCCAGCTCTCCTGGGTGCACAGGCCGTCGGGCACGCAGTGCATGCTGTGGATGAACTCTTGGGTGATCAGGAAACCAGAGCATGACCTTTGCCTCTTGTTCAACTGAGTGTCCTGGGTCACTCACTGACCATTGCCCTCCTCCTCTGTGGTCTCACTGGGTGAACTCTTCAGTGGGGTGACCAGAGTGATACTGCTGTTTTCCACTGGTGCTGTACCACGTTACCCACGTGCAGGTCATGTTGACTTGCACATGGGAAGCATCTTCTCCATGTCCTGCTGTGTCCCCAGTGCCCTTTTAATTTTTTTCGAGGGAAAAACAATACACAGCCAGGACCAAATTTGGATGCACTCTGGAGCTTTGTCTGCAGCATGCATGAGAGTGGTGTCTAAAATTGTTCTGGCATCGATGGAGTATATGGATATGAGAGTGGTGTCTAAAAGAGTTTGTTCTGGCATCGATGGAGTATATGGAAGACACAATGCTACTCGGAGCCATACTAGGTCCTTGCAGATTCTGCAGGGGCCAAGGAAGATCAGGGTGGGCTGCTCCATCTTTCACACTTAACAAGGTTTCCGTGGGGCATCTTTCCTTCCTTTTCATGGCTGATATCTATTTCATGCTGTACGTTTGCGATTATGAACTCGCAGAATCTGTGTGAGTGCTTTGTAGGCAGGTAGGGTTTCCAGAGAGCTTGAGATTTGTGTCTCTGGCCTTGTCTTTTAAGTAGTTAGATGCTGATGCTGAGCTGGAGAAAACTGAGAGTCATGTGTTGGCAGTGAAGAGGAATTGCAGGAAGCACTGATTTATTTATATCTGTCCTACTCTACAGTCATCAGTCTGATGCAGATGAACACTGGGTTACAAAAGTAATCCCGAAAACAGGAGATAATGGTTTTAATCCTGGTGGTCAAGTGAGCTATCAGGGTTAAGTACCGCAGCTCCATTTAATTAATGGCAAGTGTATTTTGATATATTTTGGGGAGGCTGTCAGTTCATGGCTTTTGAATAAAATGCTAGTTGGATACCAAGCTGAGCTGTATGGCAGACTGCCTGACCTGTGCTCCTTGTGGAAGTTTTACAACTTCCAGCTGTCATGAAGTACACTAAGCAGAAACAGAAAATAAAATATTATTTTATGAATGAATATCCAGAAAAGTGGCTTAATTGGAAACCTCAAATATGTAGAAGGGGCAACAGGCTTGCTGAAAACATGACTCTTCTCTGACATTTACTCCTCCAGAGAACAAATACATTTTTTTTCAGGGATTAATGTTCAGGTCAGGTCTGTTCATTTTACCTGCAAAATTATCATATCTATTTTAATTTGATTACAGAATATGTAGCTATATAAGCATAAACCATTTATAAGCAGTAACTTTCCAAGCGGCACAGATAAGAATGACAAGTGTTACTCAGGCAAAGGGCAAGAATAAAAAAAAAAACCCAATGTGTTGGATCTGCAAATAGTGTCTGGAGCTGATTTCGGGTTAAGGTGCTAATACAATCTCAGTTCTTAGGTCTAAAGAAAACAAAAATTAAAAAGCTGCCACAGTGAGCTATCCTGAGCCTGCTAACCCTAACTCTTTTTTTACATTTTACTTACAGAATGGTCTTATTGTTGCCTGTTACCAAGGTTATGTGGATATTGTAATAGCCTTAGCCCAGTGCCCTCATCTTGATGTAAACTGGCAGGACAATGAAGGGAACACGGCTCTGATCACGGCTGCGCAGGCAGGTAAGGCTCCTTGTTTCACCTCTTGCATGCTGGGTCTGAGAGGAAATTGAGGCTATTTTTTTTCTTTTTGTCAAAGCCCTAAGAGAAATTAGACTGCATAAAACAATCCTGGTCATTCCCTGCCAATGAATTAACAAACCATTCATTTCTAGTAGATTAAATTATTAACAATTTAAATAAATATTTTAACTTCAAAATATGTTAACTTCAAAACAGAAATCATGCCCCAAACATGCAGTCCTATACTCCCTTGCTCCTTTAAGCTCTTTTGTCTTCTTTTTGCTCTGGCAAGTGCCAGTCAGCATTGTGGTAATATAATGTGCTGTATTAGTGCTCATAACTTTTTGTCATATTTTTTCACCTACCTCAGGGGCCTGTAGCAACTGCTGACTACAGGAAAATGTATCATCATTCAGAGATACTTTAGCTGCACATCCGTTATTCAATCACTCCTTAGTTAAGGGCAAAAGAATACAGGTACATATAGTCTCAGCGGGATTCAGTTTTCACCAGTGCTGATTTTGTAACAGTTTGAAGGTACTGACATTAGCCAGGTTAATCCTGATAAAGGCTGAAGAGCAGAGTTCACCTCTGGGTCTTCTTTTATCCCATCTAGCACCGTGATCTTCTGAGAACAAGTCTAGCAGCTCATGTAAGAGTCCCCACCATCTCCTCCCCAAATCCCCTCCCTTCACCAGGAAACGAGTCATTAGCCATTAATTACCCTTTCTTCCTGGCCAGGGAGGGTAGGGGATGTCCTTGGGAGTGGGGATGCAGATCATGAGAGGGATCCTGGCTGTTCTTCCCTGTTTGCATGGAGGAAACTAAATGGACAGACACTGCAAGCAGTGACTGCAGATTGCGGTGGTTAGGATTTGGTTTTAACTCTTGTAGTATTGTACCTGTGAAAAGTGAAGTCTTTCCCAGTCTCTGTGAAGCCACAGAAATCACTGTGAGATAAACCTTAAACATTCAAGGAACTGCTAGTGGAGTTGCCCTGTTAGGAGTGAAGTTGATTACAGAATCTTTCTCAAGAAAAATAAGAAGTCTTCAAAACTCCAACCTACTTTTATTTATCTGCCCAAAAATAAATTTGGACTATGAAAAGTTTCACATCTTCTAGACATTTATACTTAATGAGCTCAGCTTTAATCCAGAGGGCTGACATTGACATGACCCCGTCTGTCAGTATCTGCTGCTGATCCCTAGAAGAATGGGAAATGACTGCAGTCAGCAGAAGCTTATACAAACTCGTAAGAACTTGGATGGTTTCTCCTGCCCGTGGTAATCCTGAGCTACACTGGTGTCAACACCAGTTATTTAACTCATTATCGCTACCTATGAGAGGTAGAAGTAATACCGATTACCGTGTGGTTATCACTGCAACCAGAGGACTGTATTGCAGGCTGATAAGAGTCCAGTCCTCTTCAGCTGGTTGGGCAGTGCCAGCATTTCCTGCCAATTCTTGGCAGTTTTGATAAAATGGTATGGCACACTTACAGGTCCTGAGTTGTGTGAGACATAATGAAAACCAAGAGGATTATTTGATTCTTCCTGAGATATTGCTATAAAGCCTACAATTTAGCTTTAAAAAGCTGCCTGCATTTATTACTGGTGAAATGCATTGCCAAGAAGTGATGTCCTCTGCTTATCCTGCAAACGCCAACTCCAGTCAGAGATACAGCTCCACAAAGTTCCTGGAATTCAAGCCAAATCTGCCATTTATAAAGAAATGTTCTCATGATTTTGCAGAGGGACCTGAAACTGACATTTGGATTGTTTTTCTCTTGGGGTCTACAGACAAGAACAGCTACAAAAGTCTACAGAACTGTGCTGAATTTGAAGTGGTGACCCAAGAATGAAAGGTTTAGTTGTTTGGTAGCAATGTTCGGAGGCAACTGCTAGCTCAAAAGGTGTCATAGACATACCAGAAAAAAAGTCTGCTGGCTTCTGAAATTGTTTCTGAAGGCCACCTTTGCACAACCTTATTTGTGCAGGTTGCTTCTTCCTAGCCTCCCTGCTGTGTTGATTGCCATTTTACATGGTTTGAGTAGAAGATACAAGGAATTATACTGTCTAGTTTCTTTCATTTCTTCTCCAAAACGACAGCATTCGGGATGATGGCAATCTCCAAAGAAGAGCAGGTCAACAGGAAGTAAAAGCACAAAGACAGTTCTCAAAGAGCTACAGTTATCACTAAGTAACCTTTTTTTTTTTTTTTTTTTTTCAGCCCGAAAACTTTCAGAAGTGCAGTGAATCACTTGCCTTATTTGAAGTATAAGAAGTGTTGCTAAGTAGTTGGAGTCCTCCCACAGCAGGTTTCTTTTGATTCCTCAGGTGGGATGCTCAGAAGGCTGCTACCTGGAGCCTGGGCTGTAGTCATGATCCCCACCTGCATCATTCACCTGGAAGACTGGGCTCAAGCGCCTGTCCCAGCTACTTGCAGTCCATTTTTATTCAGCACTGGTGAAGATTTTCAGTATGCAGTGATCGGTGCTGAATTATCAGGCTGCTACCACAGTAGCAGCATTGCTTTTCTAGAGTTTTCAATGCATTTATTTCTAAAATCACTAAACACACATCTACTAAGGATTACATTCTCTCCTAGAATTGAGTATCTTCTGTTAGCATGGCAGAAGCTAACTGAGTACAATTAAGAGGAAATATGTATTTCAGTTTTCCAAAAATTCTACAAGAATCAGGTATTCTGAAATTCAGCCTGTCCTAGTAATGACCAAAGCAAACACTTTTGAGCTACAGTTCCATATTGTTGTCTAATACCAGTCTTTAAAAGGAAAAATGCGTGATCACTTGGCTACCACCATGCTTGGACCCCTCTCTTGCAGAGATTTTTGTTTGTTAGAGTAGCATTAGCAATCTCTCTGCGTTAAACTTTGTACAGAGTCTTTGCATTCTTTGTTCTCATTCCGCAAAAAATAGGAGGGGAAGCCAAAAAAAGAAAGCCGAAAAGTGTTGAAAAATTCACAGCGCACAAAGCCAGGATTTCATCAAATATTCAATCAACTGATGTATCTCTTGGATTTTCTCTTCAAGTCATTAGAAAGTAGAAATAGTAGAAAAAATACCAAGGTTCAAACTCAAGAGCACACTCTTGCCTAGCTATGTGATACTTATCCCTCAAAATTACTGCCAGAACAAACTAGGCCATAGAAATAATATTATTTTTGCAGCATAAAACAAATTGTTCACCAAAATTACTGTTTGTCGTATGGAAAGTAGTAGTAAATTCGCATTATTTCAGGCAATTGTAGGGGGAACTCTGGGGGCTCCAGCAAGGTCTGGCCTTTTTGTTGTGATCCCCTCACCAGCCTGGCTGTTGGGTGCTAAGGGCATCCTGACTCCAAAGAGGACCTGTGTGGGACAGAAACTGTGGTCCTGGGGTGTCTCTCCATGGGTGCCAGTGACTGTAACGTGAGCTACAGAGAGTAAGGGAAGCTCTACGGAGGCTCTTTTATTTTGGGTAGATGCAGTTAAAAAATCCGCACTTGCTTATGGAGTTTCGTGATTATTTGGACACGCTGCTCAAATCTGAGCATCCGTTGGAATTAAATAGAGCTATTTCAGAGGCCAGCTATTATCTTCAGGGAAAATTCAATTCCTCATATCCATTTGCTTTGGGTAATTTTAGATTCACGTATTTCCAGGAGAGCATCTAAAGCTGAAGGTTTCCTGGATGGGCAGCCCTAAAGAACATAGTGCGGAGGCATCAGTGAATAGCAGTACTTTCTTGATAAGCTTATTGGTATATAAAATACCCAGTACCAAAGTACTCAAATTAGGGTGTGGTTTTCAGTTTGAAGATTAGTGTCTTTTCTGCTCTGTCTCTTGGTATTTCTTTCAGACCTTCTCAAAGAGGACTTGGATTCCTGAACTGTCGCGTTGTTACAGCCAAAGCGGGTGGTGTCCCAAAACTGTTGATTTTCTTAAAGCAGGAGCAAAGCTCATGAAGTGGCAGTACTGGGGCAGTGCAGAAAGGATGGGAGCTAGACATGAAAATAAAAGAGGAAGGGAGGGAGGAAGGAAGCAGGAGAAGGGGGAGGGAGGAAGAGAGGAAGGAAGGGAAGAAGGAAGGAAGGAAGGAAGGAAGGGAGGGAGGGAGGGAAAATGTAGTGGAGGAAAATTGCAGTAAGTAGAAAAACTCGATAATAAATTGTTTAAAATCGCCCATTTTTGAAATACATGTTTGGTGTCATAGGGACCACTTGGGGCAGCGGTGTACAACCATGAACACAGAATAAGAGATTAGCCCGATATTTTTTTTTTATTAATGAATACAGGAGGGCACAATCACCTAAAATATCCACATCATAAAAGACACCGGCATCTTCAGTTCAGTGAATACTTATCTGGCAGAAAGCATTTGCTACCCATAGACCAAATACAGCCTTTTTACAGGCCTAATTCACTGGCCAGACCATGAAGCTGTGTGCTAGAGCATCTTCCTTATTATGCAGATTACCCTTCTGCCTCTATTACATAGATTATTAGGTAATATTGTAATCATTATGTGCATTTCCTCTGTGGCAGCAATTAAGTGAATTTCAGCTACGTGCAGACATCTGTCCTTATCTCTAAATACGGCTCAGAGCACAAAGAGCCGGACCCTTAGTGTGCTCGCTGTGTTAGGAATACATCTGCCTTGCTAACAGCCAGCACCTGATGTGAATTCAGCATGCCCCAAGCGGCTGGGGCTGGTCTAATTTATTTTAGAGGTGCCTACAGCTTTTGTAGCAGACTTTAAATCACCCAAGACTCACCTCGCTTATGATTTAGATGAACGCTTTTAGGTTACCCAGATGCAGGGGAAGTGAGACAAACTTTATGGCCTTAAATCAAAAGCGTGTGACACAGTTTCAACAACAACCACAACAGCAACAACAACAACAACAACAAAACTCGGCAGCTCTTAGTTTTGCTTTGAATTTGAGATTTGTTTGAACTTGAAATTTGAAGCAAACCTCAGAGGACCAAAGCTCCTGCAGATTAAAACTGAAGCGGTTTGCAGGAATCTCTGTGACGTAAAACTTCTGAGAAACACAACCTTTTTTCTTTTTTTTTCTGTTTTAACTTTAGTTTTCTTTGTTATTTTTTTGCCTTTTTTTTTTTTTCCGTATCACTGGAGGGTCTTTGTAGTTTCCCAAAGAGCATTGCCTGAGCAAGGCCTTTCAGGATTGACTCTTGAGATTATCCAGGATTGCCAAAGTATCTCTCACTGTAACTCCCTTTTGGCAAAGGGAGGAACATCTCTACTCATGTAATAACTGATGGAGAATCTTTCATCTTAGCATTTCTCCCTGCGTCCCTGATCACAAAGCAGTATTTCGACTATTCCCAAACCTTCAGGGAGAAGGACACTGCATGTACATGGATGGAGCAGAGCACGTCCTGCGAAGCATGTTGGGCACAAAGACCCTTCTGATTCTGGTAGTAACTGGTGTCCTCTTGGGATTCGAGCTGATGCCATAAAATCAGTAACGCCGAAGCCGCTGGATTTAGGAAACACAACCGGGTCACTTGTTTGTGCCACGAGGCCAGGTCGCTTTTGCTCTCTTCAGCATGCGGCAATTTGCTTTAGCTTTGCATTTCTTTTGCATCAGATTGCCCAAGACAGAGGGAGGTCCTCAGTTGGCTTCCTCTGGCTCTGCTGCGCTGTGTCCACATCTACCCCGGCTTTGGGAAGCTTCCCAGTCACCCAGTGAGGTGGCAGAGCACAGAAGACTGTTGGAGATGAAGAGCAGGACCAGTCAAACATATTGGAATTAAATACATTTGTTTTTTCTAATTTGGTGAAGATCTTCCTAACTATCTGCCTTTCACAGCGAATGCAGGACTATGTTCATACTAAACAACTGCTGATGGAAACTGCACCAGATGCGCCACTGTAGCTTTAAAATTTGTTCTCTGTGAATTATAGTATGCTTCAGTATCATTTCTAGAGGAATCTGAATGACATACATCACAGAACATTCAACTGGACTGCAAAATGAGAGAAAATTTTTACAGCTCACAGTAATTAAATTGTGATTTTTGCAGCTGCCTGACGGACTGCATTATAAAGCATCAAAACAGCATAAAAATGAATGACAAGTGAAGGGGAAACTGCCTTGAATGAGTCATAATGGCACTAGATATTATATGTCTTGTTCTGATAGTCCAATTTCAAAGGTTTGATGTTTGAATTGGTCTTCCAACCACATAGCCAAGAGATAGCTTTAGCTTGCTGACTCCAGTTAATCCTGGCTCACAAGGCAAGTGAATGGCACCAACAGTTGCTTTTAGAAACAGAACTTGAGTCATTTGTTCTCCTGCAAAAGCAGGAGAACAGCCCCATTGTCCTGTTGCTGGAGAGGCAACAAGTGGCTTTAGGCTGTTGGATAGAAAAATAAATAAAACAGCTTTATAGGATTATGTGCAAAATATTTCTTTGTCTAGTAGCGACCCAAGCATTGGTTTCTTAATATTCTTTGTTGGAACTACCACCTGTATCACCTTTTAATAAGCTAATATTTACCAGGGAGAGTGGAAAAGCTACGCTTCTGCCATTAGGTGATGAGCCTTCCAAAAGCTGTAGAAACTCCCTTGGCATATTATTAATTTTCTTTGTTTTTCAGTTCTCAATTAATTTGCAATGATTAATTTGTAGTTGTAATTTCAAACAGCCCCTCATTTGATGGTGTATTTTCTCTGCTTTTCTGTTTCTTTGCAGGGCACATAACCATTACAAACTATCTGTTGAACTATTATCCTGGGCTTGATATTGAGAAGAGGAACGTGTTTGGGTTTACCGCCCTCATGAAGTCTGCCATGCAGGGCCGCACCGATTGTATCAGGGCCTTGATGCTGGCAGGTAAGTCAAGGGCTTCGCTGCTTTTTCATCATCATCTAACTGCAAAGACTAGGTGGTCACACATGGGAAAAAAAAAAGAATCTTCCTCAAAGTTCTTTGTGTCTTTTTAACATGGGAGTACAAGACACAGGGGCAGGAACAGGTCATTGACAAGACGTACACTGTGGTGGCCTTTTTTGCCATGACATTGCTTGCTTTTCATATAGTAAATAAATAACAAATAAATAATACATAAGTTAATAGTAATTAATAGTTAAATAGCAAATAATTAGCACAAATAGGTAAATAAATAATATAGCTATGGTAATATTATTGTATTACCATCGTAGATATTTAACACAAACCAAGTGGCATGGAAGTGATAATAGATTGCATTGTATCATGATGATATGATACAATGATAACAGATTGCAGCAATAATAAGACAGATCTTCATTTTCTTTGCAGACTTTAGACCGTTAATAATTTCAGCTGTTTTGCTGTTATGGAAGCCTCACCCTTCACGATTTATATGTTTTAAGTAGACAGGCATTTATCAAGCATGGTGATATTATATTCTTCCATTTTCATAATATCCACTTTCTAGATGTTGATTTGACATAGCAAATGATCAGATAATATAGAAACTGTTACATTATTTTTTGCAATAGTCTCTAGCCTCTTATGCTGGAATCAGTGCTTTGAAATCATATCACTCATTTGGAATTAATTTTCTTTATGAAGAAAAGCTATAAAATGACTGTTAAAGATAGAATGCTGCACAATACAGTTGCTGTGCACTTTGTACAGATGCCAGCTTAGAATTTCCCAGTGTTAGTAATAAATTGTCAATTAAAATGAAACTTCAATTCCAAGACCTTATGACTTGTCAAGTTGACCTTACAGTCTCCTGACTTTCTATTATTGTCACTGAAGATTTGATGGAAGCTTCTTCTTTCTGTTTTGGTCCCTATTCTAAAACCTTCCCATCCCTTGAGGTAACTCAGTCTTAGTTATTATATTGTTTGTACAAAAAAAAAGGCAAGTATCAAAGTTCAGTGTGTTGTTGCTGCCTCTGGAATCTCAATCTCCACCTTCTGCCTCATGAGTTTTGTACTGGCCTGCCTGTGCATTAGAGATAGTGAGGACATCAAACACCATTCATTGGCTAAAAAGGTATAGAGCTAATATACAGCTAATATACTAGAGCTAATACACCCAAACTGAAGTTTATTTACAGATTTTGGGGAGCTCTTTGCAGCTTTGCACGTTTTCAGTTTAAATTATGGCACCCAAAAGCGGTGTGGTAAAGTTTGTGGGATTTTTTTTAGCACTCCACAGTACATGAGAAAGGAGCTGTTGGAATGAATTTACAAAGACTTTGTAGTTTAAGGAGTAATCAGTGGCTGCTAGTTTGCTGAAGGAGATGAAAGAAATTGTTATTGAAACGTTTTGACAAAAAAAAGGAAAGTCTCACAAACAAAACAACTCCCAAACTTCCAGCAAAATTTTGTGTTGAGAAGCAAGACATGGAAATGCGGGAGGAAACCAGCCACAATCAGCCATGAGCCTACTTGCATAACCTCTGACTTCCATGTAGCTAACAGCCTGTGCGTGTGTCTAGCAAGCTTTGCATCAAGGCAGTCTTCAGAGCCAGAATCTCTTTAGTGGCTTGGATAAGATCTCCAGTGACTGGCACCTCCTTAGGGCAACACAGGAGGGCAGTAAAGGAAAACATCTCACCTATCAAGCTGCCGAAGTATGGATTTAGCAGACGGATGGGGAAGAGGTAGAGGCAAAGCATAACAGATGGTTGGAACTGGATTTTCAAAACGACTGCTCTTTCTCAAACCTGAGTTCCTGGAGGATGCCCAAGGTTGGTCGCTGCAAGATTAAGGCACTCAGAGATACTACACACTTGGCCAGAACATTTACTCTTTCAAAGTGAGTCTTCATAACACGGGAATTTGCTGTTTGGGAATGCAGAATGAGAACACAGCAGTCACTCATCCGCAGTGTACCACAGCCTGCGAGGCTGCTGCCCGCAGTAATTCCTGTCTCTGGCCTAGGCGTAATCTCTAGCGTAAACTCAGTGCTGCTTCACTGAAATCATTGGAGGGCTCTGGGCTTTCAGTGCTATGTATAAAATAGCTCAGCAGCAGGTGTGCGCCTTCCCACGCTCTTTCACTCCTCGTCTGAAAACTTGGTGTTCCCCAGTGGATTGGCCATGCACTCTGCTGTTTTCACTCACTGCTTTTTAAATATCTATCCTCAGGCACCTTCATCAAGGCCCTCCTGTTAAAGCTCTCTTGGGGTTTTGCTTTTTCCCTCTGATCTAATGCTTATTCCTCAAGCTCTTGCTAGAAACTGTCTAACCCAAAGTCCTGCTTAGAGTCCTTTTGCATTGCAAGGCCAAGGAGGAGTGCAGTTTTCCCTCAGGAAACGTGCTAGGATGTGTCAGTGGCTTTGGATTAAGCGGAGCTGCACAGCTGACACTTTGGTTGTCTGGTGCAAACATCATCAAGGATGCTGCTTTGCATCTTAAGGGGCGTTAACCCTTATCTTAAGGGACATTAAGCCTTTTATACAGTGTATAATCCCAAAGTGGCAGGAGTATTCAAACTAGTTGTGTTGAAAAATGGTGTTCAGGGCAATCTTCCCAGGAAAATAGGGGCTAATGGCAGATACTTTTTTTCTGTAAGAAAACCTGTTGGCTGTACTTACACTGGAATGACAGTTCAATAACACTGCTGTAACGTTTTGAAAGGAACAGGTCTCATCCAGATGAGACATTCTTCTGAATGCCAGGTTTGTTCAGCAATGTCTCTAGGTTGGTACAGAAACCATACTATGATAGTAAGCCATGTTTTAGAAGAGATTTTGTGATGCAAGGAACGAAGTCAGCATTGATTTCTATTAAAAGATTTGGGAGAGGACAACATGGCTGGATATGAGGGGTTTGGTTCCACCCATCCTTCACTGACATTTGTCTATAGCTTTTGTGGTCATTAGCTTCTTCAGACCTTGCTGCCTTTGAGATCTCGGGTTTTCTCAGTTCAGAGCTAATGAACTCTTATTTAATTAAATCTTCCTCCTCTTTGGTGTCTCTCTGCCTTTCAGTGTGGGACTCATTCTTGAATCCCTGCAGTATCTCAGTCTTTTGTCTCCGAAAGATCCTTTCTGCAAACTTCATTTAAACCGAGGTATTTCTCATCAATCTCTTTGCTTAGGCGGTCTCCCTCCACTCACACTGACCCTTGGACTATTTCTCTGCATCTTCTTTTCATGTGTTTCCTCAGGAATTCAGGAATCAGCTGGTACTTAAAGAGTTAAAGTGGAGCTTCTGACCACCTAGCCTGTACTCTCCGTTTTGCTGTGATTCTTCTGTAGCAACAAAACATCTTTTGCCTGGAATTTTATATAGGAGCCATTGCAGACTAGTTGCTTTGCACTAGTTCCTTTGGTTGCCATTACTGATATCTAGCCTTCCCCATGTCAGTTTGAAATGTTGTCATCAAGATAATCCATGCTGAAAATAATACTTTGTCATGATGTTTCTCTGGCCTCTTCCTCAGGTCTCACTGTGTGGACAACTCCATCTTCCAAGGCAATGTGACAGAATGTCTTTTTTTTGTGGTGTAGGTCAGTTTTGTGTTGACTGTTTGAACATGGTGCTTCAGCCTTGTATTCTGTTGGCTGTTTTCATCACTAGTGAGCATGGAGTTGGTGTTTTCATGGGCCTTTTTGTTATTAGTTCTAGATGTCTCTTCTGAGTGGCAATGGTGAGTGCAAAGCCCATTGTGAGTGAAGGATATTTGTATATCAAATTGTTTCTTTCCATGTTCATGGAAGTCTTTCTTACAAAAATTCATTGCAGTCTTTTGTATCTCTCTGTGCATTGTTTTAAGAGAATTTCATATATACAAGTTCATTTTTTTTATATTGCTTTTTTCATATCTATCAAGAGTCCAGAAATTCAAGACCCACAATCTCTCCTTATTGCGTTTTGACACAAATATTGTAGTACATCATGTGGGATATTTTCTTGCCAGGATCTACATGACACAACTCTGATCGTGGTAACAGAAATGTGGACACTTCATTAAGTAACATCAGTTGTTTTTCCTTTCTTTCAGGGGCAAATGTTCATGCGACAGACCCAAGCCGTGGACTGACTTCATGGGAATGGGCTTGTTACACGGGAAGGTCAGAATCTGCCTTCATCATGCAAAAGCTGATGGACAGGCCATGCCCGGAACAGTTTTGTGATCAGTATACGCCAGAATGGCCAAAGATGAAGGAACTTCTTGCCAAGGCTGCGGAGCCAAAGAGCTGTTTGCAGAGGATTACGGAGTGTGTGAGATCCGCAGTCTCATTCCGGTCTTTCCGTGGCCCAGAAGAAGACGGGGTCCTTGACCACATGGTCCGGGTGACGACAAGCCTGGGCAGTCCCTTCATTGCCCTGTCGTGCCGGACCGTGTGCCCGGGAAGCCCTCCTTCCGTGGGCAAACGCAGGCTGGCCGTGCAGGAGATCCTCCGGAGGCAGCGAGCCGAGCAGATCCGCTCTCAGGACAAGGACCACGTCAGCAGCTACGAGCGGCTCTTCCAGAACTCCAAAGTGACGCTGGTCCGCAAGAAGAAGGACCGGCGGGCCAGCCTGCAGCCCGGCAGCCTGGCGGTGCCGCCGGCGAGCGCGGTGGCGCTGCGCAAGGCCAGCCTG